TCACAGGGCCTGGCCTCAGGGGCCCCCGGTTTTAATAAAAGTTGAATGGAGGAGGCTGCTGGTGGAGAGAATTCTCTGTTCCTCTGACTGCTCCCTCTGGCTAAGGGTCATGGGAGAGAGGACATTCACTTTGCCCTTCTTTTATTTTTAATTTATCAATTTGTAGTATTATTTTTAAGACAAATTTATTGAAGTATAATTTACATATAGTACAATTCACCCTTTATAGATGTACAGGTTAATGAATTTTGACAAATGTATATAGAGAGTTATATAACCAGCAAAACAATCAAGATATAGAATAATTCTATCACCCCCAAAAAGTCCCCTCAAGGCAGAGGGACACTTGGGTGAAGAGGGAACCTGGAGATAGATGCTCACGCGCAGAGACCTGGGAAATTCTGCCAGGTGGGACATGGGGGCAGGGATGACTCCTAGTGTATGTCCAATGTTGGTGTGTCTGTTGAGTCAGGACATCTTTGTTCCTCACTCTGAGGCAAGGCCATGAAGAGGGTGAGGCAGTAAGGAAGGGTTATACAAGTGCAGGTTTGGATTCTGTCTTCGTTTAAAATTTCGATATTTTATTCATCATGGAGTTTTTACATTAATTTTGATTTTTTTAAATATTACATTAAAATGCTCTTTATCTTGATTACGAGTTTATTGGTGCCTCCTTAAATTTTGCACCCTAGGCGAGTACCTCACTTGCCTCACCTTAGTTCTGACCCTGCCTTGGGAACAGGGAACTTGCCTGGGGTGGCAGGGGGGCAGGAGGGGTGGGGGGATAAGGGGTGAGGAGAGAGAGGGTTGTGCCGTCCCCTCAACTGTCCACTTTTCGCTTCTCTGACCTTTCGGCTCCTCCCTGGTGTCTGAGTGGGGCCCAGGGAGAAAGAGCAGTTTCACTATCAGTTGCTAACAAAGGATTGAGGTTCCTTTCTCACTCCCTGAGCCTAGGACATCTGGGCTGTGGGCCATCACCCTTTCTCCCGCTTTAGGTTCCAAGGGACTTTGCTTCACTTATTTATCCCACATTCACTGATGCCCACCTGTGCCAAGACCCTGCCTCCGAGGCACTCCTAGTTATGGGGAAGATAGATGTGGAAATGGACAACGAAGGTTCAGTGTGGTAAGGGCAGGGCTGGCGGTGAGAGGGAGCTGGAGCAGAGGGTTCCTGGTGGCTTTGCAGAGGGGAGGGTGCCTGACCTGATGCTTGGGAAGCAGGGGTTACTGCTCAGTAAATGAGGCCCTTGAGACAGAACAGTGAGCAATTCTATGGGGCTCAAGGAGCTCACACATGGTGGTCCCAGGTCCAGGTGGCCTGCGCTGGGTTTTAAAAATTTTGAAACAGTTGTTTTTGGGTGCCCTCAATTTGTTTTCAGCTTATAGCAACCCCATGAGACAGAGTAGAACTGCCCCACAGGGTTTTCTAGGCTGTAATCTTTATGGAAGTGTCAGGAAGCAGATAGCCAGGTCTTTCTCCCTCTGAGTTACTGGTTAGGTTCGAACCACCAACCTTTCAGTTAGCAGCCGAGCACTTAACTGTGTACCACCAGGGCTCCTTTTAGCAATGTTTAAAAAATCCAAAGATTACACATAAAAAATCCAGAATCCTGGTTTCTCCAGCCCCTCCTCCAAAAAAAAAAAAAAAGGAAACCTGAGGGAACTCTGACAAGGTTGGGTCTGTGTTCCTGCACAGCAACAACAAACTCAGCCCAGTAGCTCCTTTACATAGGCTGCTCCCGTCTGAAGTCTCCCGGCCCTCAGATCTCTCTTGCTTATGTTACCTGCTGGCCCCCTTTGTAGTCTAGAGCTGTGCTGTCCAGTACCGCAGTAGCCACTAGCCAGCCACATGGGGTTATTGAGCACTTGAAACGTGGCTAGTCTGCATTGAGATGGACTGTTAAGTATAAAATTTACAGTAGATTTCAGAGTACCAAAAAAACCAAAAAAGAGAGAGAGAATGTAAAATATCTTATTAATAATTTTTAAAATACTGAATACATGTTGAAATGATCATATTTTTGATATATTAGGGTAAATAAAATGTATTATTAAATTAACCTGTTCCTTTTTACTTTTTTCAATGTGACTGCTAGAAAATTTAAACTTATATATGTGACTCACATTATATATCTATTGGATACTCTAGAGAGTAAAGGACAAATGGGGGACCAGGCAAGAGGAATAGGTAGGAGCTGGAACATGAAGGAGGGATCATAATGTGATGGGTAAGGACATGAGTCACTGATCAGAGTTCAAGACCCATTTCTGCTCCTTACTTGCTGTGCCATCTTGGACAAGTTACTTAACGTCTCTGAACCTTCATTTTCTTCATTTTGAAATGAGGATATGAATGATAGCATCTACTCCACAGGATTGTTAATGTTGGTATATAGTTGGCACTCACTGAAGAATAAAAACCAGTTGTTGTCAAGTCGACTCCAAATCATGGCGGCAGTCAGAGTGGAACTGTGCTTCATACGGTTTTCAATGGCTAATTTTTTTCAAGTACCTCACCAGGCCTTTCTTCCAAGGTGCCTCTGGGTGGACTTGAACTGCCAACCTTTTGGTTAGCAGCCAAGCATGATAACTGTTTGCACCACCAAGGACCATTATTCTGTCTAGCTATGGATCTTGTATTTGATTCTTAGGGGACTGGCCAGGCAGTGATGACTTTTAAACTGAGGAGTGATGCATGTTTCATAAAAATCCCTCTGGAGCAGGGCAGGGAGACCAAAGCAGGGACTGTACAGAATTCAGACGGGAAGGGAGATAATATCTGTGGTCACACAGAGAAGTGGCCGCATTCGAGGCATGTTAAGAACTATAAAAGCAGTGGGACACGGTGATACAGTGATGGACAGGATGTAGTGGGAGAGAGAGGTGTGGAGGGCATTCACTGGGATTTCTGGTTGGATGACTGGCTGGAGAGTGGGACTGCTCATCTAGAGAAGGAATGAATGGAGGGGCTTCATCAGGCCTGAGTCTAGGTCAGCTTTGCTTACCTCTGTATTCCTGAGGCCTAGCACAGTGCCTGGCACATAGGTGCTTAGCAAAAATTTACCATATGGCTAGAAGGCTGAGAGCACTGCCTCTGAAACCAGAGTCCTGGGTTTGCTCCTGGTTCTCAATCTACCATTTGTGTGATCTCAGACACACTATTTTACCTCCCTGGGCTTCAGTCTACTCGTCTGTAAAATGGGAATAAGTATTGCCCCCTCATGGGTTGTTTTGAGAATTTAGTGAGGTTATCAATATAACCACATAGCACATTCTTGTTGTATGCCATTGAGTTGATTCCAACTCACAGTGACCCTATAGGACAGAGTAGAACTGCCCCATAGGGTTTCCAAGGCCGTAATCTTTAAGGGAGCAGATCACCAAGTCTTTTCTCCCAAGGAGCTGCTGGGGGGTTCAAGCCGCCGACCAACCTTTCAGGTAGCAGCCAAGTGCTTAACCATTGTGCCACCAGGGCTCCTAAGCACATAGCACGGTGACTGCCAAACAGTGAGTGCTCAGGAATTATTAGCCCCAGACCCCTCACTTGATCTCCCCACAAGGCCTTCTCTATCAAGGCTCTCACTTCCTTGAAAGAAGAGAAGGCCAAACGATTTCTCTGAGGAAGCAAGTGGCCCAATATTCGACTTTGCCCCTGAGGCTAGGTGGGAGGATGGAGGTTAGATTGTAGGAAGGACTTCCTTTTAGAGCTAAGAGTATCTAGTGGCTGCTAGAAAATTGGCTTCTCAGATTACCTTCCCTGCCCTTCAAAGATAATTAAAGAGTATTTGCGGGGAGGGGAGGTGTAGGGCTCATATCCTTATTCCTGATCTCTTTGAGCATTGGAGTGACTCGGCAGGAAGGACTGGCAGGAAGGACGAAAGTGCTGGAGGCCTAATGGGTCCATAACCTTCCTGTCCCCAGCACGTGTTAAAAAAACAAAGATGTCATTTTGAGGATTAAAGTGCACCTGCCCCAAACCATGATATTTTCAATTACCTCACATGCATGTGAAAGCTGGGCAATGAATAAGGAAGACCAAAGAAGAATGTATGCCTTTGAATTATGGTGTTGGTGAAGAATATTGAATATACCATGGACTGCTAGAAGAATGAACAAATTTGTCTTGGAAGAAGTACAGCCAGAATGCTCCTTAGAAGTGAGGATGGCGAGACTTCATCTCACTTACTTTGGACGTGTTATCAGGAGGGACCAATCCCTGGAGAAGGACATCGTGCTTGGTAAAGTAGAGAGTCAACAAAAAAGAGGAAGACCCTCAACAAAATGGATTGACACAGTGGCTGTAACAGTGGGCTCAAACATAGCAACGATTATTTGCTATGGCGCAGGATCAGGCATTGTTTCCTTCTGTTGAACATAGGGTCGCTATAAGACGAAACTGACTCGACAGCACCTAACAACAGCAACCGCAGGACGTGGGAGTCTAGAGCCCACAGACCTCCTTGATCTGAGGTGGGGGGAGAGGTGGAGGTCCTGAGTGGGAAGGAATGATCTGGGGACTCCTTGTGATTGCCGAGGACTGGGAGACCCTGCTACCATGACCTAGGAATCCTACCTCCCAACTCAGATTACATTTCCTCATTTCCAAATCCTTCTCTGATGGCACACGCTCAGACTCTAAGACTGCTGAAGCTGTTTGAGTTTTCACAGGGAGCCATCCTGGCTTAATGAAGGGAACATGGGTTCAAGAGCCAGACAGTTTTGGGTTCAAATTCCCACCACCCGTTAACTGAGTGAACTTGGGCGAGTCACTTTAACCTGTGTGCTTCAGTTTCTTTCTTTATAAAGCGGGGAGAATGGTACCTCTCTCCAAAGGCCCTGGGACATTGAAGTGCCGCTGTGTGTGCAGTTTGTAGCGGGGTGCCCGGCACCCAGCTGGCACTTCATCAACATGCTCATTCCCAGCTGGCAGGTGCTTGCGTCCTGTGGCTCCGGCTCAGTGTCTTCTCTCTCCCTCCCTTGTTCTTGCTTCTGCTCCACAGTCCCCATCTCCTCCAAAGCCAGCAGCCTCTCGGCCCTCTCATTGGCCAAAGACAGCCTGGTTGGTGGCATCACGAACCCCAGTGAGGTCTTCTGCTCCGTGCCTGGCCGGCTCTCACTGCTCAGCTCAACGTCCAAGTACAAGGTGACGGTGGGGGAGGTGCAGCGGCGACTCTCGCCTCCTGAGTGCCTCAACGCTTCCCTCCTGGGGGGCGTCCTCCGCAGGTAGGAAGGCCAGCCCATGACTCCTTGTACAGCACCCAGGCCAGAATCCCTGATCTTCTTGGGCCTTCTCTGGGGGCCAGGGAGGGGCCCAGCTTCACCCCAGGCCACAGCATCATCTCCGCCTCCTCAGGGAGGAGGGCAGACATGGGGACCCAAAATTCTGCATGCTCTGGAGGCAGGCCTAGTCCCCAGTAGCTCCCATAGGTCTGTGGGTTTAAGGATGGCTCGGGGGCGGGGGGTGGGGGGCTGGAGGAGCTGGAGAAAAGTCTGGGCACAGAGAAGGGATGGAAGACTCACATGGGGAAGGATGGATAAGGCTGGCCTGGAGAAGAGTGCCATCTTCACCCTTTCCCCCAGGAAAAGGACCCCCAAGACCCATGGCTCATTCCCTGTGGCAGCATAGGCCTCTCTGGGGTGTGTGTGTTGGGGTGGGGAAGATGGGAGTCCATGGTTTGTCTTCATAGTTGTGGGTGTCTCTCTGTACATGTCCTTATACCTGTGTAGGGTATTTTCTGCTTCAGGCTGCGTTTTGATGTGTCTGAAGATGGTGTATGTGTGTGTGTGTGTTAGGGGATGGCAAGGAGTATGCTTCCATGCGTGTGTGTTTCCTGTGTTACTTTCACTGGAGATGTGTTGGCTAGAATGTTCCCTACTGTGTGTGTGCACACGTGTGTGTGTGAAATTACTGTGCATCTGGAGCTACATATATGTATGTATACATGTCTTTACCTTTGTAGGGGCACATTTGTGCAGCTGTAGGGTTATCTCCTTATTGCTGGTCTTGAGCACCCCAGTGACTGTGTGAGTCCTTGAGTGCCTGTACATGTGTCCCTGGGATCTTGTATGTGTGTGAACCCCTATGTCTGTGTCCCTATGTGTTCCTGGGTGTGTGGGTCTGTGTACTTGTCTGTGTGTCTCTGCGTATGTCTGTCTCTATTAGTGTGTACGTGTCTCTGTATGCTTGGCCCTCAGTGTGTATCTATCTGGCTGTGTGTCTATGTGCCCTCGGGTAGCTGGGTGTATACCTATGTCTCCCCTTGTGTCTCTCTGTCTGCATGTCCCTGTCTCTGCATAGGTCTTTTTGTCCCTGAGTAGCTGTGTATGGCCCAGCTGGTATGCTAAGGTGGGGAAAAAGAGCCCCAAGATGTGGTCAATCATGTCCCACCCTGGGCTGACCCTGCTCTTGAGAGGGTTAGGAAGAAACTAGGGGCTCCTGAAGCTGGGTGCTGGTCCCTCCACCCCCTCCATCTTGGCTACAAAACTAGTGAGGTTAGGAAGAGGTTGGGATCATGTTGAAAGAGACCCCACAGCTTCCCTAGGCCCAGACCCAAGCCTCAGTAGGGGTTGGTGGGGGCAGCAAGTTCTTGTTGGGGTCTTTTAGTCTACATGCTTCTCTTTTGTCTTCATAGTTGTATGTCTGTCTCTCTCTGTGCATGTCAAGGGCCAAGTCCAAGAATGGGGGCCGGTGCCTGCGGGAACGGCTGGAAAAGATCGGGCTTAACCTGCCAGCAGGCCGGCGCAAGGCCGCCAATGTGACGCTGCTGACTTCACTGGTGGAGGGTGAGTGAGGCCTGAGAGTGGGCGTTAGTGTGAGGCAACGTGTTTTGTCCTGTGTGACTGTGTCTGACTGTCTCTAATGCATGAGGGTGTGTTTAATCGTGTGTGTATTCATGTGAATGGTGCGATATCTGTGCGTGTAGTCAGTGTTGTGTGTAAATAAGGTGTGTGCACTTGATGTGTGTGTATAATTTTGTGTGTGTGTGTGTGTGTGTGTGTGTGTGTGTGTATGTGTATGTGTATGAGGAGAGGAGTGGCCAGTGTTTGGATGTGGTAAAGGGCTGAGGAGGATGAGAGCTCTTTTCTCTGGTGGTTGGTGACACTGGACTCTGGGCTTGGCAGTCTTGAGTGCTGGCTCTGGGATCCACAGTGGGCTCAAATGCCACCCCTGAGCTCAGAGCCCATTCCTGATGGCCCAAGGTGGGGGGCAGTAGAATTGCAGCTGGGGCTAGGCTGGGGAGGGAAATCAGAGGAAGGCATCTACAGAAGCAGAATGAGGCAGGGTGCCTCCTGGCTAGGGGGTTGGAGGTTTAAGGCTATGCTCCGGGCTGTACACCTGGCAGCGGTGACAGCTCATTTCTTTCTCTCTGCCCTCCTCACCTCCAGGAGAGGCCGTACACCTGGCCCGAGACTTTGGCTATGTCTGTGAGACTGAGTTCCCAGCCAAGGTAGCTGCCGAGTACCTGTGCCGACAGCATGCTGACCCTGGGGAACTGCACAGCCGCAAGAGCATGCTGCTGGCTGCCAAGTGAGTGAGGGTGCCATGCGTGGGCACTTCTGGGTTCCATGCACAAGCTTCCATGGGTGCCATGCATGGGCACACATAAGTGCAATGCACAGACACAGACCCCATATATGGGCACAACGGGCACCAGCATGCGCACACGATGTACATGTGGCACCATACGTCGGCACACCTGGGCTCCATGCTTATGCTCACAAGGAGTACACAGGTGGCACATGTGCATTCCACACAGGCACACACGGGCACCACACATGGGTTTATTTGGGCATCATGTCCATCACATGGGTGTTCTCCACAAGCACATGTGGGCACAAATGTAGACACATGGACAACACATATAAACATATCTGGGTTCTATGCATCAGCACAAAAGGTATCATATACAGGCTTTATATAGGTCCTGTGTGTGGGTACTACACTCACATTCACTGCCCTATGGCATCATCAGCCCCAGTCCCTTGAGTCAAGGTTCCATGGTCTTGCTCTTCCTGTCTAAATCTTGTCCATCAGCCCCTCTGCTCCAGTGACCTCCATCAGGGGCACCAATGCCTACCTAGGCCCCCAGGTTGGCCCTCCCTTGTCCTTACTTTGTACCTGATCCCTCTACAAGTCCTGTTGTTGCCTCCCTCACCACCATTCACATGCTGCCACCCCAACTCAGGTCTCTTCATCTCTCTCCTGGCTGGACCTTCACCCCAGCACACACATCTTCCACTGCTCCCCCCACCCCAAGAATCTTCAATGGCTCCCACAGCTACTGCATTGATTTTTCAAATTAGGTACTGTGGGGATGCCTCTTACAGACCGGTATTCCAATAAGATTTAGTATTTTAGAAAGGGTTTCATTGCAAGAAAAGAGGGAGGGAGAAAGGGAGGGAGGGAGAGAGAAAAGAAGAGAAGTGAGGAGGGAGGGAAGAAGGAAGGAAGGAGTTTTGAAAACCACTAAACTGTATGATAAAATACAAACTTCTTTGAGGGCTCTACGATCTGATCCATACAAACCCCACCCATGCCCTCCACCTGATCTACTCACTCTCTCCTGTCCTCACGTCCTTGGGCTTGCTCTTCTGCTTAGAACACTGCTCAGACACCCTACCTAATGCAGTTCACATCACCTTCAAATCACAACTCCACCCTTCCTCTTTTGAAGTGCCCTAGGCAGAAGAGGAGTCACAGACTAATGGGACCATCAAATAGAGGGACCTCTGAGGCTGCTCATATTGTATCTGGAGACATGTCTAGGGTGAGCTTTTGCCTCATTCATTAGCCAGTTAACTCATCAAGGACTTCCTGGGTTCCAGCACATCTAAGATGCTGACCGGGTTCCATGGTGATACCAAAACCAGTGATGTGCTCCCCATCCTCCTGCCTGAGCCACAAACAGGATGCACAAATAAATGAATAATGGACTCACAAACCAGAACTGGATTCAGATCCTGCTCAGTCACCTCGGCAGGTCTTCTAACCTCTCTGAAACCCGCTTCCTTATCTATGTGATGGGGATCTAGTCCTCAATGTTCGCTGCTAGATTTTATTTCAATTATCCAAAGCAGATTCTGGATCGTTCTCTACTGATTTCAAAGATAAAGTTCTGTGAAGCATTGGGTGTTTGGGGTGTGGGTGTGGGTGGGAATGGGGATCAAGGAGCTTCCTGGAGCTTTGAGCTGGACTTTGAATATGGACAGGACTTCAACAAGGAGAGATCCCTGGGTGGTGCAAATAGTTTGCACTCATCTACTAAGAGGTCCCTGGTGGCACAACAGTTTAGTGTTTGACTGCTAACTAAGGTTGGTGGTTTGAAGCCACCCAGTGGCTCCTTGGGAGAAAAGACCTGGTGATCTGCTCCCATAAAGATGACAGTCTAGAAAACCCTATAAGGCAGTTCTACTCTGTCACATGTGGTCACTATGAGTCCAGATTGACTTGATAGCACCTAGCAACAACAACAACACTTATCAAAAGGTTGGCAGTTTGAACCTACCCAGGAGCACTGTGGAGAAAGGCCTGGCTAAATGCTTCCACAAAGATTTCTTCAAGAAAACCTCACGGAGCTCAGTTCTACTCTATAACACGTAGGGTCGCCATGAGTCAGAACTGACTCGATGGCAATGGGTTAGGCTTTTTCCAGCAAGGAGAAAGACTGTAGAGTATTAGCATGTGCTACTAGCTGTATGATGCTGGGCGATACCTCTCTGAACCATAGTTTGCTTTTTTGTAAAATGGGTATGATCATCATTTGCAGGCTGTTGGGAGGGTCAGCAATCATATATATAATGTATATGAAGTGCCCAACACATGGTAGGTCCTTCTCTGGGCTCAGACCTTTGTCCTCTAACCTCTGTTCCTCCTGCCCCCACCAGGCAGATCTGTAAGGAATTTGCGGACTTGATGGCTCAGGACCGCTCGCCGCTGGGCAACAGCCGCCCAGCACTCATCCTGGAACCCAGTGTGCAGAGTTGCCTGACACACTTTAGCCTCATCACACATGGTTTTGGAGGGCCCGCCATCTGTGCCGCCCTCACTGCCTTCCAGAACTACTTGCTGGAGTCACTCAAGGGGCTGGACAAGATGTTTCTAAGCAGTGCGGGCAGTGGGCATGGTGACACCAAGGCTTCAGAAAAGGATACCAAGCATCGGAAATAATCACTTCCCCTATGCCATCCTTAGGGGTTCTGCAGGTCTGAAATGAGGCCTTAGCTCCTGGGGGTGGGCAGAGTTGGGGATGAGGTCAGACCAGAAAGAGACCATACATCCAGAAACCCGAGACAGAGATCTGGGTTGAAGCCAAGGGGAGCAGCCTTTCTGTGGTGGTTTTTTTGGTAAGTTAAGGGCCCAGGCATCTGCCTCACACGTGCCATTTTCTGACCTTTGATTGCTGAGAAGGGCTTGAGTAGGAAGTTGGCATGGAAAGGTCTGGCTCATGGGGCAGAGCCCTGCCCATTCGAATGCCTGGGCAACAGTGGGCACTCTTAGGGGCCAAGGCCTGTTTTTCACTGATGGCAGGAGAGAAAGTGTTAACAAATCAGAGGTGCTATTGAGGGATTAGCACCCCTCATTCCCAGAACCCCTCCCCCCAGAAAAGGGGTGCCGGCAGGAGGCTCCAGATGCTCTTTGGACCCCTCCCATTCTTGGAAAGAAGTGGGCAGGAGTCCTCAAGGAACAAAGAATATAAAGCACGAACTGCAGAACTTGAATCCAGGCTGCGTTTCACAGCCCTGTTGCTGTCTGTCCTATTTATTTACATACGTGGTAATTAAATCTGAAAGTTTTAAAGTGTCCAGTGCAACTTATTTATCCCAATGAGTTGGGGACTTTCGTTTCACTGTTTTTTGCTCATGCACCAAGATGTCCAGTTGGACCAGGATAGTTTTTACTTGCAAAGGGCTGTGGGTGGGCTGGGAGGGAAGAAAGTTATGCCAGGGACCCTGAGGTGGTCTCTGGGATTTTGTACTTGCTGTTGTTTCTCTTGACCCTGCAGTTGATGTACCTCCCCACTTCTCAGTTTGCTTTCTCGTTCTCTTAATAAAACCTTTTCATTGGATACGAAGCTCTCCCTGTCCTTCTTCAGCTCAGGCCTGGATTTACCTCCTAAGAGGGCAAGGTCACTGGGGAGAGGCAGGGCCTGGGAATTAGCAGGGCTAGGGGTGGGAAGGGGCCTCTAAGGGGGAGGCCCGGAAGGCAGTTGTGGGCATCTCTGTGTGAGAGGGGGTGCAGATGTTGGTGGGCCTATCTGGCTTGTGAGTGTAGCTCTTCGTTTAGTTCTGTGTGTGTTAACTGAATCCTGGTAGATCTGTATGAATATTAGTGACTGGATGGGTCCATGTGTGAATGTATTAGCTTGGCTGTTAGGTCTCTGTGTTAACACAACTGGTGGTGTTGGTTCTGTATGTGTGTCAGTGTGAACGCTGGTGGCTCTGTGTGTTGTGCACGTAACAGGCCAATGATAACTCAGTTCTCGTCTACCTGAGGATTTCACTCTTCAGGCATCTTTTCTCTTTCCTGCATGTGAATTATCTACTAGATCATTCTCCAAAGCACACGTTCAAAGGATCTATGTTAAAAAAATATAAATCCTTTCCTTATTTCTTTGCTCTCCTTTGCAGTTAAAGTGCTTGAATGCTGCATCCTACCTCCACTTGTTTGCCCCATATTTGCTCAACCCACTTCAATCTGGCTTCCATCCCTACCAGTCTACTGAAATCACCTCAGCAAGGTCATCAATAACCACAATGCCAAACCCAAGGGCCTTTTTTCTGGATTTAACAGCAGCATTTGACATGGCTGAGCACTTGCTCTTTTACCCTCTGCTCTGTGCCTCCCAATGTCTCCTAATTTCTTCTTATCTTACTGGTTCCAACTCTATCTCCTTCTCTACCTGACTTCTAAATGTTGGCCTTCCTCAGGGCGTTCTCTTCTCTATCCACACTCTCTCCCAAAATGATCTTATTTAGTCCCATGGCTTTAAATATCATCTATATGCTGCTGTCCATCTATAGAGTCCCTGGGTGACATAAACGGTTAAGCGCTCGACTACCAGCCGGAAAGCTGGTGGTTCGAACCCACCCACATGGCATCACCATGAGTCAGAATTGACTCGACGGCAACTAACAAGAACATATACTGTTGACTCTTGAATTTACATCTTCAGCCCAGACTTCTCCCTGAACTCCAGGCTTGAATATACAACTATCTGCCTGTCTCCACCGGATATGCCTAATAGGCATCTCAAACTTATGTCCAAAATGAAATGCTTGACTTAGAGCTCTCAAATCTTAACCTCCTGCAGAGCTTCCCATCTTCATAAACACTACTACCTTCAACCCAGTTGCTTAAGCCAGGAATTGGAAAGTCAGTGTTGGTTCTTCCTCTACATCTAATCTGTCAGTCCTATTAACTGAATCCATCCTTTTCTATCTCCACTGCCACCACTCTAGTCCTCAGGACTACTGCAGTAGTGTCCCAATAGGTCTGCTTTCACTGACACACCTTAATCTGAGGCCCTGCAATGCTCTGAACTTTGTCTGCTTCTCCACCTTCACCTTAAACCATTCTCTTCACTCACTTTGCTCCAGCCACACAGATTTCTTTTCTGTTCCTCAAACACATTGTTTTATGCCTCAGGATCACTGCAATCACTATTCTTTGCCAAGAATGCTTTCCCCCAGTTCTGTGCAGATGTGCTGTCAGGGTCAAATGTTGGGGTGCTTTGCAGAAGTGGAGAGTGTGTTAGGGACATGGGGTCTTGAAATCATCTCCTAAGGGAAGGGTCCAAAGATGTGATTTCTTCTTCCAAGAAGTTTCACCTGCCTCAACTCACCCATATGCAAAGAGGAATAGGGTGGGGGGAAGGCTAGAACTATGTACTGCTTTAAACAAAGCCCAGAGCTTGGCAAGAGATAATTCTACCACGAAAATTATCTTAGGCTATGGGAAATTGAGAGGATTAAATGAGATAATAGACATAAAGCACTTACACAATGCCTAGCACATAGTAAGAAATCAATAAATGTTTGTAAATATCCGTAAGGTGAGCAAGGAAGAAATGAACTTACCAAGAATTTCTTAGTGCTGAACAACTTTCCCTAAGTTACCCACGCTGTCTTCACCAAGTCCCATTTTAGAGGTAAGGGAACTGTAGCTTGGAGCAATGAAGTAACTTGCTCAAAGTTACAGAGTGAGACTCACACAGGTCCCTTCATTCCCACTGTACCGTAGGCCCTCTGCAGAGTGGCTCACAGACCTGACACCAGTGAGAGGAAGCAGGTCCTTCCAGCCCTTGGGCACCAAGGCTCTGCTACTCCAGCAGGTGGTCAAGATCATCAACCATGCTGAGGAAGCAGTACAAGGGTGGCACAAGAAGCTTCTAACGAGGTCTCAGCATTCGGTTCTTCCCATTAAGCTTTTTTTTTTCCCCCATAGCAAAATAAATTGTTTTATCCTACAACTAGCTGGGTTTAGCCCTACAGAAAAGCAGATGATGATTAAAGAAAAAGTATACATGATGGTTTACTCAGCTTTTTTTGCAGAGCGAGTATCTGTGAATTAAATGGAGAGTATTTAGACTGGGTAAGCATTATGATTTTAAATTGTGGGGTTTGAGAGTTTATACTAATTTAAAGACAGTATTTTCCTATTCTCTATTAAAGGATTATAGGGCTCTAGGAGAAATATGAGAAGGGTAACCTTTGAAACTCTTCCCTCCCTCAAACCTCACCAAGGTAAGGTCAAGTTCACACACACGCACGCACGCATGCAGACACACACGCAGACACACACACACACGCAGACACACACACACACACACACACACACACGCAGACACACGCAGACACACGCAGACACACGCAGACACACACACACACACACAAGCTAAGTAGACAGCAGGCATCTAGAAAACCTCCTGAGAATGTCCCTCCTTCTCCTGCCTGGGCACTGCTGCTGCTAAAGTCAAAGGGCCAAGGCAGGAGGCAGTGAAAGGGCTCTGAGTTTTAGGCATTAACGAGGACTCAGGCAGAGCAGGCTCAGCCACTGTTGCTCAGCTAGCAACACCAAGAGCTTCTCAAACCATTTCAGCACTCTCTTCTCTCAGACGTTCTTTCTCAGCCTTCCTGATCTCTTTACTAGTCAGGGCTGAGCTCCCCTACCCTGAGGCAAAACAGCTGCTCTCTTCTCCAACCTACTCCCCTTATCCTGGGAGGGAATAAATTGTTTTTCTGTGTATTAATCACCTGAAAGCAGACGGGAACCAATCGGAAGGCCATTCTGAGCAGTGTTTGGTCGGGAGTGGGGAAGACTCAGTGCATTCCCAGTGTTTTTCAAACTTCAGGAAATCAATTTAGGACACAACCAGCATTTAAAAAATAAAACCCAATAGAAGAAAATAGAAAATAACAGAGTGCACTGACTGCATCATGACTCAATACACACTTACACACATATGAATGCAAGAAAAGTTTCACAAAGCAATGCTTAGAAATGTGAATTCATAAACGTATGCTGAGGCCATGTAAATCTAGTTGGATCATGGGCCTTTTGAGGTGTAAGAGAGTACAAGGAGACTGAGGAGCCAGGTTGCAGACAAATTATGAAATGCCTATCATGTCAAACCAAAGAATTGGGCTTTAATCTGTAAGTAATGGAGAACTGCCAGAAAGTTGTGAGTGAGGAGAAAAATGGATGGTCAAACTTTTTTTTAGAATACAGAGAAAGGACTGAGAGGGAAGATATTAAAGGTTGAGAGAAGTTAGGAGGCTGTTAAAATAGTCCAAGAAAGAAACGATAAAGGATGAACCAGGTTAATGGGGATGGAGATTCAAAAGAGATTTACAAAGTAGAAATGCCAGAACTTGGTGACTATGTGAAGATAGAAGATAAAGAAGGCATCAGAAATGATGCTCCGTTAAATGCAGTGTGATATCTTAGACTGTATCCTAGAACAGAAAGAGGACATTAGTGGGAAAACTAGTGAAATCTGAAAAGTCTGGAGTTTAGCTAATAACCAATGTTGGTCTCTTAACTTTCGACAAATGTCATGGTTATGTAAGATGTTAACATTAGGTGAAACGGAATGAGGGACAGAAGGAAACTATCTTTGCAACTTCTGTGTAAATCCAAAATTATTCCAAGTTTAACATTTTATTAATACTAAATGATGCCTAGGCTTCTGGCTTGAGTATTGGGAGGCTAGTGACTCTAATTCTCCAAGATGGAACACTGTAGAGGAGCAAGTAGTTCTCTACCAAGACTGAAGGTAAGAATTACTTGGGAAGCTTTTTAAAAAATTCCTATGTCTAAGCCTCAAACCTACTTAGAATCTGGGAGTGTAGTCTAATCACGTACATTAAAAAAGAAAACTGCCTAGGCGATTCTGGTACACACATCTAGTTAAGAACCAGTTTTAATGGCACCAACCAAAAGCATTTCTAGTATTCCCCAAAAGCTAGACTAGGGAATACAATAGATACCTGGTTAACTGCATATGGTATATCAATTTAATGAAATATTATCTGTCAACAAGAATAAGGTAGATCTACAAATCTGTCTTGGAAGAAATACAGCCAGAATGTGCCTTAGAAGCAAGGATGGCAAGACTTCATTTCACTTACTTTGGACATTGTTATGGGGGACCAGATTATGAGGGACCAGTCCCTGGAGAAGGAGACATCATGCTTGGTAAAGTAGAGGGTCAGCAAAAAAGAGGAAGACCCTCAACGAGATGGACTGACACAGTAGCTGCAATAATGGGCTCAAACATAGCAATGGTTGTGAGGATGGCACAGGACCAGGCAACGTTTTGCTCTGTTACACATACGGTTGCTATGAGTCAGAACTGACTTAATGGCAGCTAACAATAACAATACCAACATGTATTGATATAAAACAATATCCAAGAGATAGTGATAAATGAAATAAGCAACATGCAGAACATTTTTAAATATTTTTAAGAGGGGGCATGTGTGTATTTATGTATGCATATATGTTTATGTACACATACACACACACATGCATTTATATGCTTTACAAATGAACAGAATACTTCTCAAAGAACAGACAAGAAATCAGTAGCTATAGTTTCCTCTGGGAAGGGAAATAGGTGGCCAGATTATAGGGATGGGTATAAGTACATGAATTACCTACTGAATAAATTAATTTAAAAATTTTTTAAGGTTAGGGGCAAAAAGAACCACTGCTTTAGAGGGACTGAGACATTAGCAAGCAAGATACAAGCAAAAGCTAGATGAGAAGGAAGCTGGGCAGTGGAATAAGAATGTGAAGACTGCCAGCTGCTAAAAGGAATGAAGGGAAAGGGCAGGAGGAAAGACAGTGCTGGCAAAAAGTCCAATGCAGATAATCCTCCCTCCATCTCTTGCCTGAGGTGATGGGGAACTGAGGCCCAAGCCAGAGAGCTCAATTTATACATATTCAGCTTTATTCTGAATTAATCATCTATCAAGAGTGCAGGTCAAAAGAGTAGAAAAAAATAAAGTAGCCCATCAAAAAAGTTCCCTGGCAAGTGGGATGGAGGGCACAATGTTAGGATCCCCCTTTAGAGAAGGAAATGTTCTCCAGGTCATGGATGCCATTTTTGTCAATGACTCGAACGCTGAAGGTTGGCAGATTCAGGATGAAGCGTTTCTGGAGCTGCAGAGACAGGAAGGAAATCAGTCAACAAATATTTACTGAACACTAAGTAAGTACCAGGCTCTGTTTTAGGCACTGCGGAAAGAAGCAGACAAAAATTTGATTTTGTGGAACTTCTAATCTATTGGAGGCAGTCAGTACTGGGGCACTGACCAAAGCCCAAACCACAGCTGGAAGCTGCTTGGAAGGTAGAGAGCATGAACTGGGAGATGCAGTTGGGAGCCTGTCATCTCAGGTTAGTCATCTGATGAAAGAATGACACAATCCAACGCTTATTTCCCACAGTCTGCTACCAATCAGTCTGGCAAATACAGGCTTCTCTCTCAAAATGTCTTAAGGTAATAAGGTGACTACCCTAGGAATAAGCTTTGGACCAACACAGTACACTCCTAGACCTCAACAGCTTGCTTCAATCGCCCACTCCCATTATAAGGACTAGGTGTGTGTAGCTTGTGTGAAAGGCAAACTGGCCTTACTTGCAATGCTCCCACTGCTCTCATCCTCTCACTCCCTCACTGGACCATGAATTCAAGTTCATCCTTAGGCCAAAAGAGCAGCAAAAGAACGAAAAAGCTGAATGAAACTGCTTTGTGGTCTCTTAATCTCTACTCATACCCATACAGTTGCAGACTCTTAGGAGTAGTCCTAAAACAAGCAGTCTGTGCTCCTGGCCTCATAAACCAAGGCCACTCTCCCCTTCTGCCCAAAGCCTCCAAGTTGCTTTCTATGGCTTCCTGAATTCTCGGGGGGAAGGAAGGGGAGCTTTCTCTCCATATTACAAGGACTCATGCACTGTTAAGGTAGCAGACAGCATGGCAATTCCAGGTGGCACAAGAACACAGCAGGTATAAAGTCTGGGGTAGCAGTGCTTAAAGTGTGGCTCCGGTAACTCCTGCAGCAAAATTACCTGGGACTGCTAGGTTAAAATAGAGATTCTCAGGCACCACCTCAGAACAAATAAGTCAGAATCTCTGCAGGGTGGGGCCAGGAATCTGCTTTTTAAAAATAAATTCCCCAGATGATTCTTAAACATACTAAAATCTGAGAACCACTGGTCTGCATGAATCAGAAAGAAAAGTAATTAAACTGTAAAACTGACACTGATGAGGAGGTGACCCATGAGAACAAAAACAAGCTTGTTAGCCACCAAACCCTACTGCTGGTAGCAAGTTCACATCTGGATAGTAAAGTATTTTTTACACCTTCTGGCAAGGATCAGAAAAATGCAACCAAAAAACTGGAACAATATTGGCAAACAGAGACAACACATTCCTTTCAGGATCCCATGGGAGCTACTCACCTCCTCCAGACATTTCCTAAGAAGCTCCACTGCCCTCTCACGTGAGATAGCTGAAAGAAAACACAGAGGCCAAGCACTCAACGTGCTGTCATTAAGTACAACTCTCCCCTACAACTTTCGATTAAGTTTCAAACTTTTTCAGATCAGTGTGCCATACCAATGGAAAAGGCAAAAAATGCTTATACTTCTAGCTTGGAACAAACTTATTCCATATACAGCTGAGGGTGCCCCAGACCCATTGCTCCCACAGCCACAAGCCATTGCAAATTGATTTGCTACAGAGAAGGGTAAGCATGACGGAATTCTGCCTCCATGGCCAGGGCTTGCCTCTGGAGAAGTCCAGCCGCCTGCTTCTCTTTTTCATAGCCCACCCTCCCCTCTTTAGTCCAGGGCTTAAATCAGTTCCATCTGCTCTAGCCAGCTGCAAATCAGGGAAAGGGAGGACAGGGCCAGAGTTTTAGCCTCACTTCCCCAGCTGGGTCTCAGTTTGACAATGGGAAGAGAATTGATAGGATGAGGCTGAGACTCTCAAACTAGGAGCCAAAAGAACTGTCCACAGGCATGGCAAACTGGAATGACATATCGTGCAGACAAGCTTCAGGGGTGGTTGGTGGTTATTTTGGTGGAAAAATCAGCTGTATTACTGACAGACGCCAAGTCAAATAACAGTCACCAGGAGGCCAGGCTAATTGTTTTCAGGATGTGGGCTGGAGCTCTGGTGGCTGAGGCTGAGTGAGAGGGCAGCACCAAAAAGGAATGAACACACCAGACTTTTACTATATTGACAGGGAAGAATGGAACGTAAGGAGAGAAGTGGTTATCCGTGTTGCATCTACAGCCTGTAAAAACTAACAATCCCAAGTCCTGTTGCCCACAGGGGCTAAAGGTGATGCTGGGACTGGGGGAAGAAGGGAGGATTCAGCACAAAAGTGTCCTTGGGTCTGAAGCTTTGCCAAGCTGACAGATAACTAGACAACCAACTTCTTGGAGGAGTGGGCAGCCAACAGGCAATAAGAATGAAGGGCAGGGCCCAGGTTTGTGGCCTTAAAAAGCTTTGACGTTTAAGTAGAGAAATTCTCAGTTGTCATGCTGGAGACCTGTTCATCTTCACAAGTTCAAAACAAACACCCAAACCACTTGGTTTACTTGCTCAGTCTCTACAGCTAAGATGCCAATAAATATCTGGGCAGGGCAAAATGACTGAAAAACTGACCTCTTGTAACTGAAAAATTGTAGAATCTAATAAAAATGTTTTACTCACTATGACGTCTACTACAGCTCCCCTTTAAAACAAAACAAGACCAAATTCTGGACATATGCAATATCTCCTTGTGTCTGGCAAAAGAGGGCCTTTTTCATCTTTTTAAAGATCTCACTGACCCACAGGAAAGAGCAGCTCTCAGAGGGTACCTATTTGTGCTTCTTAGGATGCATCCTCTATTGAGGCCCTAGCACCCAGCTTCAAGGGTACTGTCCAAAACTGGGAAGCAGCTGAGGGCAGGGCTCTGCTACCACTCCCTACCTACAATGCTGGTACTTACTTGGTGTATAGTATCGGTCCAGGATACTGAGAGTCAGGAAGGCACCATAGCCATGGGCTGCAAAAGGGGCCTTTGCCAAGGCTGCCAGGTAGTCCATGTAGTAGAGTGCTGGACCCTCATGCTCATCGTAGCCAGCCAGGAGGAGGTTGACATGATATGGAGTCTGCAAAGAAAAGACATTGCAAAGTGATGGTCAAAGCAATATCACCAACATCTCTTCCCATAGCAAGTGGGAGTATTCCAACTCTTGATGAATAAGAAAATATTAGCAGCAATGGAATAAATCACTATGAAAGTCAAAATTTAGAGAAATCCAGAGGACCCAGAGTGTGGTAAGAGGGGAAGGGCGGCCGGATTGTTTTCTTTGAACAGAGATCATCTGGAGCACTTTAAAATACACACAAAAAACTGCTTTCTTCTTAAAGCCTATGAACCAGGATGTATTACAAAAGCACTTCAAAGACAAAGCATAGGTAGTCTTGCGTCTTTCCTAATTGTTGAGATCAACAAATACAATTCTGAGAATATCGGGCTACAGACTGAAGAAAGCAGCAGCTCCAACCACATCATCCAACATGAACAGGGAGTCAAGGCATCTGGATCAAAATCTCAAATGGTAAACTGTATGCTCCACTGTTAAAGAAGTCCATAAACACAAAGAAACATGGTAACTCTAGAACCAAAACTTCAGTGAAATGCTAACATTTTTCTAATATAACAAGGCTCTCCTAAGATAACCTAAAAGTAACGTGCATCAACAAGTGAAAATTATAACTTGGATTTATAGGTACTCTTTCTTTGAATTACCTTTAATTAGAATCAAATCACAAGTTACTACAGAGAACGTTGGCTAAGTCAGCCTTGTATTTCATCTCTAAATGGATGATTACTTTTTTCTACACCAGCTTGGCCATTTACCATGTTAAGTTCAGTCTGTCTATGCTCCTGGGCATCAGCGGTGGGACTGTCATTACAGGTGGCTTCCTTTTTCTCTGCAGGATGTGTTTTTCCTCTTGCGTTTGCCACAGTGGGTAGTGAGCAGGCTTTGCCCATGGTTATGTGTCTATCCCTAAACTTATGTATGTGATTAAATGCAAATTAAATGAGACACCCTATTACAGAGCATGAAGTAGTAACAGCTAATGGTCCTGAAAGTGACATTTTACATTCTTTGAACACTGATTAACATGGGCAATTGGAAGCCTGAAGGAACTCATGTTAGAAGAACACATGAAAATATTATGTAGCTGCTTGGATTCCAAGCCAGCTGCACCAAGCAGGAAGAGCTCCTAACATCTCCTAAAGATGACAGAGTAGCCCTAAATTTCAAACAAGTTTCTGACTTGGGGTAAGACAGTGGATAGTCTCAAAGGAATAAGAACTGACCAGTAATAGTCAAGGCTTTTGAGAAAATAATTACCTGCTTATCACACTTCCCAATGGTAGTGTGCTGCAGTCTGCCAGGCTCTGGAATTCCTTCCCTGTTCTGTGTCTACCTACGTAGTCTGACCTTAGGCAAGACACTTAAACCCTTAGAAGCGTCTCTTTTCTTATCTGTAAAACTGATTAATTAACCCTTCCCCTTTCTATCTTCTAGGGAATATGGTGAGAAAAAATAATAGAGGTGAAGCATCCTGAATTCTGGAAGAAAAGATCCTACCTAAATTCCAAGTATATTAGCTATATCCTCATAATCTTCTGACAGCTGAGCATTTAAAAAAAAAAAAAAAAGATTAAATTAGCTAGCTAAATATAAAAAATGTATAACTAATAGCATTTTTAAAAATTCTAATAGTATGTTTTATTTAACTCCAAATATCCAAAATATTTTTTTTTACTGTGCTTTAGGTGAAGGTTTACACTCAAGTTAATTTCTCATACAAAAATTTATACATATATTGTTGTGTGCCACCAGTTGCAATCCCTATAATGTGACAACACACTCCCCCTTTCTACCCTGGGTTTCTTGTGTCCATTCAATCAGTTCCTGTCCCTTCCTGCCTTCTCATCCTGCCTCTGGAAAGCAGCTGCCCATTTGGTCTCGTGTATCTGATTGAACTAAGAAGCACACTCTTTATAAGTATTATTTTATGTTTTATAGTCCAGTCTAATCTTTGTCTGAAGAGTGGGCTTCAGGAATGGTTTTCGTTCTGTGTTAACAGAGCATCCAGGGGCCATGGTTTTGGGGGTTCCTCCAGTCTCAGTCAGACCATTATGTCTGATCTTTTTATATGAATTTGAGTTCTGCACCACACTTTTCTCCTGCTCCATCAGGGACTCTCTGTTGTGTTTCCTGTCAAGGCGGTCACTGGTGGTAGCCAGGCACCATCTAGTTCTTCTGGTCTCAGACTGATGGAGTCTCTGGCTTATGTGGTCCTTTTGTCTCTTGGGCTAATACTTTCCTTGGGTCTTTGGTGTTCTTCATTCTCCTTTGCTCTAAGTGGGTTGGGACCAACTGATGCATCTTAGATGGCTACTCGTAAGCTCTTAAGATCCCAGACACCAATCACCAAAGTGGGACGCAGTACTTTTTCTTGATAAACTTTGTTATGCCAATTGACCTAGATGTTCACCGAAACCATGGTCCCCAGCCCCCAGCCCCTGCTACTCTGTCCCTTGAAGTGTTTGGTTGCGTTCAGGAAACTCCTTAGCTTTTGGTTTAGTCTGGTTATGCTGACTTCCCCTGTATTGTGTGTTGTCCTTCCCTTCACCTAAGATAATTCTTGTCTACTATCTAGTTAGTGAAATTAGTCAGTGGCAAAAGGACAAATATTGTATGAGACCAGTATTATAAGAATTCAAGAAAAGGTTTAAACACAAGAAAACACTCTTTGATGGTTACAAAGGTGGGGAGGGAGGGAGAGGTGAATTCACTAATAGCATTTTTTTAAAGTGTGAAAATAGTACTGCGAAAGCAGGCAGACATAGGATGCTTTGGTGTTCTTAATTAAAATTAGAATAGCAAAAAAAAAAAAAAAAATAGCAAAAGGATTCTAGTCCTACCCCCAAGAGATTTAATAATACACTCCACAGTCTGTTACCTATTAGAAAACAAAAACAAGTGAATCTTTTTGCTAAGAGAATGACTAGTCTACTTTTCTCCACTGGTTAACCATGTTCATCATATTGTTAACCAAAACAATTTTGGAAACTTGCAATGGTATATTAAAGATCCCAAAGAGACTTGACTGGCGCAGGTCAGATATGTGTTGTCTCATATGAGGATCCTGCCCATACTATGTGATTTTTTGCTGCTGTCAAGTCAAGTCGATTCCGACTCATGTCGATCTCATGTGATTAAACTATGTTTAAAACAATTTATAGGATTTAAAAAGCCATCATCAGAAGATTTTGCAGGAAATACTGTTGACAGAATTCCAGAAGCAAGCTGTATTGCTCAATTGGTCTATATAATATCATTTATTTATGCTTAAGCATCTGACACACACACTCACCAAAGTTGGTATTCAGAAGCTACAACACGTGATATAGAAGATAACTCACAAATTATTGTGTGACTTTGAATTACCAACTTTTGCATGTGTGAGATACTTAAGCATAAATAAATGGTGTTATCTAGACTAATTAAATCAATACATCTGTGTAACAACTTGCAGTTTCTGAAATTCTTCTGACAATGCTCCATCAAAGATCTCTGGCTCACACTAGTTTTTTAAAATTTCAAATAAAGTCTTGTGTACTGTCATTCTTTTGCTCCTCTAAGAATTGTGGCATTTAAACTGACAAAGCCACAGTTATGGGTTTCTTGACTTGAATATTCTTGATTCATTAGTGTTTTCTTGGAATAAGATAAATTCCAAGCTATCCAGTTATGTGCTATTCTTAAACATAGCACATAATTGTGTGTGCACAAGGTGTGTCTGTTTAAAGTTTGTTTGGAAAAATATTTAGTATATATAAGACAAACCCATCTATTCAAATGTGTATACCCATTATTAGCTCCATGAAGGCAGACTATGTCTGTTTTGTTCAACTGTGTACAAGCATATACTATGTGCTCAATACATATTTGTTGAATGAATAAATGAGTAATAATAATCATACTAGAAAACATTACAGGTTTTAATACATATGTGGCCAATGCCTAATTACCACACACACAAAAGAGATAAAGCAAATCACTAAACAAATGTCAGAAAGTGTTAGGTCCTACCTCTAACAACTGGTTCAGGTTTAAGTTGGCTGCCAGCATCCCTATGAATACACACATATGGTTGCTTTCTGCTAAGCTCCTGGGTCCTTCTCTTTCTACCTCCCTTTAGATATGGATTGCTTAGTAAAGAGAAGCTTAGGACACAGATCAGGAGTTTGAACCAAATAAAGGGAGACCAATAGCATAAATAAATACCTCAGGAAAAAGCAGCTGGGCCACACTGCAAAGAGTTAGGCCTGAGTTTGAACTCTGCCTCTGATAACAGATGTGTGGCTTTAGAAAAATTAGTCACTTAACCTCTCTGAATTTTGGTCTTCTTATGTAGAACATGAGATAATACCTACTACAAAAGGGTTACGGTGAGGATTCAGAGAGATAGGGCATGTAAACGATAAGTACAGTGCCTAAAACATAGTAAAGGCTCAGTACGCTGTAACTATTATTACTAGGGAAACACAATCATCTATGAAGTTCACAGTGAGAAGCCCAACTGCTGGCACCGAGATATACGATAAATTCCAAATATGTGCCTTCACAAAGGGCTACGGAGGAATGTTTAATAGAAAGTACCTAGCATACTGTCTGACACATGGTAGAAATGCAGGAAATGACAGCTTCCTCCTCTCTCCTTCCCAGGACTCCTTTCAAGACCCCAAAGGTGATGATGTTCACTGTCACAAGCAATCATATTAGACACTTAGAACATATCTGATTCATAGTCAACCCACTCTAGCCCATCTTGAGATTGACATAGACAGATAACTTTATTTTATGTTGTATATAGTGAGATTCCTGGAAGCCTAACCCCAAGTAAAGACCTACACCCAGATTTGGAGAGTAAATGAACATTTATTAAGTACCTTCACACTGTTTCCTATCCTGAATGCTAAGGCTTACTTTCTAGCTATCGTTTCATCAGTTCTCTTCTTTCCCATGATAAATATCACGTGTGAGAATTTGCCGAATTATTCTGGGGAAGTGGGAAAACA